GGAAATGAGTCCTTGAGGACTTGTACTGACCGTGCTGTGGGAAAATGTGTCTATTCGAAGGGCCGTCATGTGCCTTGGGGTCCTCATCGCCATTGGTGGAGGTCAAGGAGTCTATGTCGGGGACAGAGGGAAGTGTTTGAGGTCTAGGACAGAGAGAGTCTCTCCCCAGGTACCTCTCAGCCCCTGCCAGACCCCCTTACCATCTACGACCAAGGTGACATTATGTAGGACAAGCATGGAGCCTCGGGCTAGGCAGAGATAGTGGCCAGTGTCCTCGGGTAGAAAGCTGGCGATCTCCAAGCGGCCCCTCCAGCCTCGTACCCGGCCAGCAGGTGCCAGGCGACTACCCTCTTTGTACCAGTGGCCACCACGCTCAGCCCGCCCACAGCATAACTGCACAGGCTGTCCAAGGGTCACTGTCAGCTCTTGCTCCTGCCGCTCCGGACTGGGGGCCAAGCAGGACTCTGTGGGCCAAGGGCAGAGGTCAGTGAGCCCTGCAGCCCTAATGAGGCAGCCCCCCACATACAGAGAACATGCTACGCACTCAGAGCACAAGCACCTCAGACACATGCCAGACACCTGCTGCTCCTCGACATACACAAAACCACATGCAACAGATACTACATGCAGGGCAAAGGCCACTCTCTGGTGCACATCACACACATGGTACGTGGCACACATGCTGGACTGGACGTGCCATTGTCCAAGACACACATACATACACAGCACATGCTATAGGTGTCACATACAGGTTACATGGCACACTCTGGGGCACATTGCTCTCACAGTGCATACACCACTGCTTGGTCTTCCCAAGCCACACACAGTACAAAGAACATACACACGCTCACGCACACACAGCCAAGAGGCTCACCACCAGCTCTGCAGCCCAGCTCAGGGCCCTGGGCCCTGCAAGGCCAGTCCTCTCGTGTGGACACAGAGATAGGTGGATGCTTGCTGGGAGCCAGACACTGAGTCTCAATGGTTGGGCCCTGCCCTGCTGCCACCTCCTCAGGGCTTGGGCCAGGATCCTCTCCAGCTTTGCTCAGCCAGCAGTCCCCTCCTGGTGCCCACTCTTCCCACCCCTGCCACCCTTTCCCACCTCAGAGGTCATACCCAGCTCCATTTCCTCAGAGGCCTCAAAGGACAAAGCTGGAGCCCAGGGCGCACTCAGCAGGACCCCCAACAGGGCCAACAGCAGCTGCATCTCCTTCCCGCTACTCACGGGACCTAGCTGGGCTTTCCGTCGGCCTTTCTGAAACAGGAAAGGAGAGGATCCCCTGGTTCATATGCACCTTGGCTGGTGCTGTTCCTCTATTTTGCTGGTGAGGAAACTGAGACAGGAAATGGCTGGCCACTTGTCCAAGGCCCCCCGCCAGGGAGCAGCAGGGCAGACTGGAAGTAGGTTGTGCAGGGGGGCAGGCGGGCTTCCTGCTCCCCAAGGGTCCTGCTGAGACCCTGGCACAAGTTCACAGAAAGGGCAGTTTGGGGATTCTTTCCTTGGAAGCAAGCAGAGAATGGAGACATATCTTCTGCTCACTCTCAGCACACATAATTTATTTATTTTTTTTGCTGAATAAATGAATTTATTGCTGAAGAGCAAAAAAAAAAAAAAAATCTGAAATAAAATACAAGGCCAAATTTTAGCATCTGGATGGTATCTGATCTGACTCCCACTCCTTATTGCATTGCTGACATTTCCATGACCAGGTTTGGATACCTGCAGTGGCAGAGTGCTCACTGCTAACAAGGCAGCACACCCCATAGCCAGCAGTTCTTCCTCATTCTGAACCAGAATTGTAGCCTGGGGATACCTCAGCTGTGTGTCCCCACAACTCCATTTGAGGCAGCACTGGCTCTTGTAAAGAATGTAGACTCTAGTGTCTGACAGAACCAAGTTTAAATCCTGGCTCTGACTAACTTGCAAGTTCCTGGCCCTGTCTGGACCACTGTTCTCACAGGACTGCTTTAAAGAGGAAAGAAAAATGTATGTAGGGGCTGGGTACACAGAATATTGGCATGTTCTCCCCCTTCCCTTCCCATCACTCTCACCCTGGGTCTGCCTTCAGCCTGTCATCTCCAGTTCTGGCACTATTCCTGTCAGGTGTGATGTACACACCGATCCCATCTGGTTACCCTCCTCCAAATACCACCAAGGATGTCTCCATCGCCCAAAAGGAACATCAAACCCAAGCATCAGCTGGGGCAGGGGAAGAGGGTGACCAGTGTAGTCCCCAGGCTACTGGCATCTCTGGATCTACCTGGGAAGCCTATAACACCCCCTTCTCCTCAGCCACTGCCCTTTGTCCACCTCTAGCTCTGAGGCAGGGAGCACTTAGCTTGTCCTGGCCAAAGCCATTATCTCCTCCATCAAACTACTGCTCCTTCCTTGGGTTGCCCCTGCAGCTGAAGCATCACCTCTGTCCATCCACTCTCCCTGCCCCTTCCCAACTTCTAGTCCATTCTGCCTTCTCAATCCCTCTCCAGTCCATCCCATCTCCCCTGCCGGGACCCAGGGCAGGCCATCGTCATCTATTGCTTGAGCCTTTGCAAACATCTCCCTGTGCTCTCCAGACTCCACTCTGCAGCAGGGCTTTAAAAATTACAAGTCCACCATATCACACCCTCCCTGCCAGCTTACAGGCCCTTTAACGGCTCTCTGTGTCCAGCAGGATCCAGCCCACACTGTCCAGCATCCTAGGCCTCCCTCCCAATCTTTGGTTGCCGTCTGCCCCTTCCTTCAGCACTAAAGACACTGGTTTTCAAAACTGGACACGTTTTCTCTCCTGCCCACACCTCTGTGCCCCCATTCTCTTCTCCACCTGGCTCTGATGCTACTGTCTCTGCATCCACTCCCAGCTTCTGTGGCCCCTCCTCTATAAAATCCCCCCACCCACCCCTCTGCAGGGAGGACAGCTCTCTTGGGTCCGCAGCTCCGGTTGAGAGTGGGGTGGCACGGCCACGGGATATTATTCCCACACCCAGGCTACCCTGACCTCAGCACCTTAGGGCCCTTAGTCGGGTCACGCGCGGACATGGGGCCAAAGGACCTGACTCTGGCACCAGGCAGTCCTGGGTTCCCCTCCAGGCTCCTGCACTCAAGCGCAGGGGCACTCTGGGCAAATGACCGCACCTCTGGGAACCTCAGCTTTCTCATGTCCACTCGAGGCTCGCAGACGGTCCAAGCAGTTAAAGGACTGGCGCGCTCTTCCTTCTCCACCCCTACCCGGCCACCTTGGGGGAGGTGCGAGCCGGCGGGTCTCCAGGGGGAGCTGCAGAGACAGCCTGCCCGCCCCTGCCCGGGTGGACAATGAGTAACCAGCTCCCGGCCAGGGTGCTCTTTGGACGGAGCGGGACAAAAGGCCCTGTGTGCGTTGCGGGTTACTGATTTACCGTCCCCTCCACCTCTCTGCCCAGCGGACGCCCAGGTCCCCAGTATTGGGAGGGGGCAGCTCCAGAGTCCCGCAGCCGCTCGCCCCCTGGCGGCTGGGAGCTCAGCCTGGGTCCGCATCGGGTCGCGGCTCACCTCGAGCCTCTGCGGGCCCGCTCCCGGCCCAGGATCTCAGCTCACCTGGATCCTCCGCGGCCCCGCTCCTAGCTCCCGCCAGCCCGGACTTCCGAGCCCAGAGGTGACCGCAGACTCAGCTGGGACGCTTCTTCGCCCCGGGCCGGAGAGCCAGGAATGCACTAGCGAAAGCGGCGTGGCCGCGGGCGGCTCAGCGCCCCGCCCACCTCGGCCCCGCCCCTCCTGGACTAGCTCTATCTCAACAGCGGTGTGGCTGCGGGTGGCACAGAGTCCCACCCACCTGGAGTCCAGTCCCCGAACCCAACAGCGCGGAGCAGCAGATTGAAACAGCCCAATCCCGGGGCTCCGCCCCGGCCTACTGTACGCCTCCTCAGACCCTGTCTGTTTTGCCCGACCCAGTCCAGGCTTTGAGGTTCTATCTAGTCCATGCTACCTACTGCTTGTCACCTCTGGGGAACAAGACCCAGCAGTCCTGACCCGCCCACCTCTGCAGACCTTGGCCCAGCCTGGCTCCTCTGTCTTCTGCGCAACTGCCATAGAGTGGCTAGCGGTCAGACCCCTTTTGCCCCCGTCCCCATCCAATCTCTGCACAAGCTTCAGGGTGATATTTAAAATGCAAATCTGACTGTACCAACCACAACCACCCCTTTCAAACCTTCCTATAAAGATCCTTGGCATGAACTGCTTCCTGCCTACATCTCCAGATGAATCCATCATTCACTTCTTCCTTGCTCCCACTCTACCTCTGGGCCTTTGCACTTGTGGGTCCTGCTTCTTGGAAAGATCTTTCCCCTTTAGGTCTGGTTAGTTCCATCTCATTCTTACATCTTAGCTCATTTCCTCAAAGAAGCCCTCTGGACTTGCCAGGTTCCCCTTCTGATGTCTTCTCTCCTGTGAGCATGAAGAAAGAAGCAGAGGATGGAGGTGGGATAGTGAAGTGATTCAGAGCACAAATTGTAGGACTCAAATCTCAGCACCATCACACATGGCCTTGGCAAGTTACTCCATCTGCGTCTTCATTTTCTTGTCAGTAAAACAGGTATAATGATAGTGTATCATCCTCAAGAAGCAATTGCAAAAAGTAGACATGTTAGTATGTGTAAGGCTTTAGAACACTGCCTGATGTGGAGTACTCGATTTGCAATGTTAGTTATTATTATTTAGGACCAGTTATTTCTTTTTTACCCTTTTAAATTTTTTTATTTTTAGATTAATTATTGACATACAATATTATATTAGTTTCAGGTGTACAACATAGTGATTAGGAATTTATATAACTTATGAAGTGATCACTTAAATAAGTCTAGTACCCATCTGATACCCTACACAGTTATTACAATATTATTGATTATATTCCCTATGCTGTACTTTACATCCCTATGACTGTTTTTCTAACTGGCGATTTGTGCTTCTTAATCCCTTCCCCTTTTCTCTCTTTCCCCAACCTTCTCCCATCTGGCAATCATCAATTTGTTCTCTGTACGTATGATTTTGTTTCTGTTTTGATTGTTCACCTATTTTGTTTTATAGATTCCCCACATAAGTGAAATCATATGGTATTTGTCTTTCTCTGACTTATTTCGCTCAGCATAATACCCTTGTCTAAGTCCATCCATGTTGCAAATAGCAAGAATTCCTTTTTATGGCTGGGTAATATTCCATTGGATATATGTACCATATCTTCTTTATACCTTCATCTGCCTATGGACACTTAGGTTGCTTCCATATCTTGGCTATTGTAAATAATGCTGCAGTGAACATAAGGGTGCATATGTAGGACCTATTATTTCTATATCGCATGTTCCAGAATTGTAAATAAATAGTTAATTTTGTAAACAGAAGGCAGAAACTGCCTCCGAACTTCACTACTATATTTCAAGTGCCTGGCACACAGTAGGTGCTCCCAAAATAGCTCAGCCCCACCTGGCTCAGGTCTGCCTTACCTGCAAGAACTTCTCTCCTGAGCATCTTAACCGTGGCCAAATAGGAGGTCAGCCGATCTTTGACCTCTGCCCAATCCTCATCTGAAGTCCAAGGCCTCAGCTCTTCTATGCTCCTGGAGGAAAAAGGGAACTCCTCACTTGGGTTCTCAGATAACCTCTTAGCCCTTGGCTGGTGGAGACTGTGGCAGAGGGGAAGCTGCAGGTACTTTCCCATTGTTATGCCAAGGAGTCTAGTCTCTCCGCCCTGACCCTCAAGGGGATGGAGACTTTTCCTTTGCATAACTAAAAGGCTCATTAAAGTGATCTGTTTTTTTAATCTTACTTTTCCTTCTCAAACAAAAGAATGGTCTCCTCCCAAAGATAAATCAGAAAGGAACTGACTGTCTTTTAAAAACAGCTTATCCTGATTTCCCTCCTCCAGGAGCACCGGGAAGGTGGAGGCTGTCTCTGGGTGCCCAGTAAGTGGGAGCCTCCTGCCCACGGGGGATCTCACCAGACCCCTGGACTCCTGGAGAGACTCAGCTCCCCATCTCTGGTCCTCTGCTGGCTCCCTTAGTGAATATGGTCATTGGGGGTGGGGTGAACTGCCAATAGGAGCTGGACCCCACATAGCTTTCATTCAACTTCCAGGCACTTCCCCGTTTACCTGAGCCAAAGGCAAAGGCTGCCTCCTGACATGCCCAAGTCTCTTAGACTGGCAAACTTTCCCCCTCATATTGTGCCTGCGCATCCCTTGTCTGCCGTCCCCTACACACACTCACAACCTCTCACACTGATGATCTCACAAGGTCAGTCATTCAGTCACTCATTCATTTGCCAAGTGTTTACTATGTGGCATGCACTGCTCTAAATCCTGGGAGGAAAGCAATGATCAGACTCAGCCTTCCAGGAGCTGCTGACATTGTAGTGGGGAGAGACTGATAAGTAAATGGAGTGCATGAGACCTGCTGAGGATCCGAGTCCAAGCCTGTCTCCCTCTCAGGGTCTCATTCCCTTAGCAATCCATCACCAGTTACAGTTGCAGTCTCTCAAAGCCTTTCACACACACACACACACACACACACACACACACACACACACCCTCCTAGCAGGGGCTCAGGAGCCTGCTATCCTAAGATCCTGCCCTTAGCCTGCCTCTGCCTCAACTTCTCTATGCAGAAAATGAGCACACTCCTGTTTCTTTTTCCTTAAAGGTGTTGGGGAAAATGAATGAGTTAAGAGATAGAACTGGGTTTCACCAGAACAGGAATTAGTGAAGTCCTTACCTTGGCTGAGCTCCCACTATATGCCAGGTGCACGCTAGGTTAGGCGTCATATATGCATTATATCTTTTGACCCTTCCCGTAAACCAAGTGGGGTTAGGGATCCTTAGTTCCATTTTGCAGGTGAGGAAACATGAGTTCAGGCAGATAGAATGAAGTCACATAGCAAGTGAACAACAGAACTGATACTAGAACCTTAACAATTTGGGACAAAGAAGGAGAGCTCAGTCAGGGTGACTTCACAGAGCTGGAATTGTTGTTGCTAACACATAAGCCCACTTTCTGCCTCCATCCTTAACCTTGGCTGGGAAGGGATAAGGTGAAGATTCACTTGAGGGTGAGTGGCAGGTGAGGGGTGGGAGGCTGGGTCCAGGCATTGTTCTCTCCCCTCATTTGGCAGTACTGATGGAGCACCTGTGAAGTACCAGGCCCTTGGCAGGGGTTTGCAGACTCCATGCTCCAGGACTACAAGGCTGGCCAGTCCCCCCACCTGCCTGGGAGCAAAGTTGTGGGGAGGGGCTGATGTTGCCTGGTGCCAACCATGTTGCTCTTGGATGGCAGCCGGGTCCAGGGAACACTGGGGTTCTTGTACAGAAGGGCTGCTCTGGGCCCCTGCCCAGGCCCCACTTCAGCCCAGGCCTGGCCCCATCCTCTGGCCCAGGCCTGTACTTTCTTGTCTTCTTCCCTTCATTTAGTTCTTTTAAAATAATTTTTATTTTGGGAATGTTTTAAAATATGGAAAAAGTATACAGAGTAATAGCTACAATTGCTACTCAGAACTGACAATTGTTCTTTTGTTACCATTTTTTCTAGCCCTTTTCTACCTTGGCTTCTCTCACAGGCTCTGGGGAGGTCTGGCTTGGTTTGTTGAAACTGAGGTGACATTGACAGCTGAGTTGGAGTGAAGAGGTTGGGTTTTAGAGCCAGACACATGTGGATTTGCATCCTGAAAACTTTGCGACCTTGGACAAGTCATTCAATGTTAAGCCTGTTTTGTTTTGTTAAGCCTGTAAAATGGGAATAATAACTTCTGTGAGGACTCAGTGTGATGATGATATAAAGACTAATGCACACAGCTGAAGTTCAGTAAAGAGTGACTAATATTAATATTAGCCACTATGAGCCTAAGTGGGACCCACCGCAAGGTATAGGAAACGTACTCCTATGACTGAGAGGGAGGAACTATAAGGGTCATCCCTCCTCCAGCCTTCGTATCTCCTCATTCCTCACCCACTGAGCACATCTGTGTCCAGTTTCTTATCTGGAGACAACAAAGCCATGAACTTCAGGTTGCCCGGGGGAATTGTGCTGGAGGCAGGGAGCCTGGCGCTGATGTTGGCAGCCTTGGAGAGCTTGTGGGGAGGCCCCTCTGACCAAGCAAGATGGAAGGGAATAAACTAGGAGGGATCCGAGGCTCTCTCTGGGCCAGTACTGGTGCTTCTCACAGTCTCAGCAGCACACTAGGCCCCTCATTCCCTGGTCCCAGACACTGCAGGCCCATGCCCTGCTCGATAGGATGGGGGTATCTGGGAGCTCTCATGGTTTGCTAGGCTCAGCTCTCTCTAGACTTGGTCTTACAAACCTCATATCCACTGGGTCTTGGCTTGCACATTGGTTTGGAGGAGAAAGGGGACCCAGACATCTGGGAAGTTGCCTAGGCTGGGCAAGAAGAGAGTGGTCTGGAAGGAATCAGGAAACAAGCCCCAGAGGGGCCCTTACCCTTCTCTACCTTGCCTAATGGACCACAT